GGAAAATTGGGTATGTAGCCTTTTTACGCACTCAGACTCATCATTTCCTGCGGAAACATGTTAGCCATAGGGAAAGCGATTGGCGAAACACATCCAAGTAATATTTTTGTTTTGTCTTGTCATGTCTTTTTTTACCTTTCCAAATTTCATTCACATGTTGTTATATTTCAATAAATCAATTACTTTTCATTAAAAATACAATAATAGATAGATATCAAGTGTATGCTATGACATTTTAACAGCACAAGAGCGTTTCAGTTAAATATTAGATTTTAATACAATTAAAGCTATTTAATTATAGACTGATGTTAGTCAAAAAAAGACCAAGGAAGGTATAAGCTATTTGATATTTTTCTTTACTGAATGCATAACTTTAAACAATAATAATTATTTTAAAAGTGAGAAAAAATATAATAAAGTTTATAACAAGTTATAATATTAATTAATATGTGCAAGTAATATAAAAGACAGAGTGGGGAAAGCAAGAAAATGGTAAAGGAAAGGGTGGGACAGTGATGTTATCTCTAAAAGGCAAGGCACCAATCACTGCGTGATCTCTTGTGCCCACCATAACTTTGCATTCCCATCCAAACTAGCAATAGCAAACGCCACTTCTATGTTTTTGTGTTAATCAATTGAATTACTTTAATAAATCATAATTTATCTCATCTCATCTAATCACACCCTAATCTAGAATGCCATCCATGTCCATTGTTAAACCAAGAGTGACCACTTAATTGGAGCATATCAAATCAAAATCGCCCATATAAACTGTGTATCATGCTAATGCATCAAACATTTGCCAAAGTACCTGACTACTTTTTTTATCCTGTTGTTAAAAAATAGAGAATGCATTGTAACTTCACAATTACTTTGCACTGTAAAGTTCTAAAACAAATTATCTTACAAGTAAAGGTATAAGCCACATTTTTTTTATTTCAAAGATTTATCTGAAATATGAAGGAAGTCTTTATGATGTCAGAATAATATATTTTAGAAAAAATATAACTTTCAGTTCATTTTAAATTAAAACAGTTCAATCTTTAGTTTATTGATTTAGAACAACTCTTTTTTGTAATTTTTTTTGCCGGCACAATTCAGTTGCTATAATTTATTAACTCAATCAATTAAAAGGGCTGAATTGTATTGAGTCAATATTTAAGAGCTAAATTTCAAGGACTAAATTATTTTATCTCTGTTTCAGGAAGAGAAATTGGATGAGGAAGATCGGAGGGAGGTGTGTGGGAGAAACCCACAGGGTTTGCTCAGCAATCTCAATTGAATGTGCCTTCCAATCAAAGGTACATCATGCTCTAACAAGTACATATATATGTGCCGCGTGGCTCCCTACACACCGTGTGATGGTGGGCAGAAAGTCAAATAAATAAAGGGTGAGATATAGATGAAGCTGAAGGGAAAGAGAAGGAGTGGGGACCAATGGAATGATTACAGAGACAGAGGGAGTGTGTGGAAGCCATGTGAGGATGCGAGACTGAGGAGGAGGAATGTGGGATGAAGTGGTGAAGATGATGAGAGTGAGAGGGAGAGAGAGACATTGATTCAGAGAAACAACCAATGACGGGAGCCTCTCTTGTTCTCGTTCTTCAGGCTTTATGTAAGTATCGGCAGCATTAAACAATGATTTGGCCTCCGCTTCTTTCTATGCTTTCTCAATTATTATGTTATGCATTCACGTCCTCTCATATTTTTTACGTTCTGTACCGTCCAAAACGTGGGGTATACACACGCATGTGTCTATATGCTTGGTTTTATGTTGAAAATCATCAAAATCATGTTTCCATCGATACACACTTTGGTTTTCTTCCACCAAAACTCGGTTTTGATGATTTCAAAAAAAACAATTACACATGGTGCTTCCAAGCCTCCTCAATGGGCAGGGGAAAAAAAAAGGTAACAAAAGGGTGAGTATAGACCAGAAAAATGAAGTTGTTGGTGAATTTTAATGCGCTTTTTTAAGAAAAATGCTGAAAAGTACAACTTGAAGAAAATCTTTACTTGCATACTACTCAAGTTTATGAATAGTATAACTTGCTATAAAATATATGTTATGGTAACTTTTTGGGGTACAATCTTTATCTTGAAAAGAGAAATTATAGAAACCGACCCATGCACGTGGGCTTAATATGCAAATAATTTGAGACTCTTAACCATTAGCTTCTAAGTCTGATCTCCAAAATGATAAGAATGGAGATTATGAACTTGTTTAGCAATCTGTTTTGAAAACAATTTTCTATTCTTTAAAATAAAAAATATATATTTGGAAATGTATTTTCAAAAAATGTTTGAAAAAGAAATTAAATATTGTTCTAAAGAATATAAAAATAAAAATATTTTTGAAGTGTTATGAGAATATCATTCTAAAGAATAAGAAAGAATGTGAAAAACATTCATTTTTATTATTATTTTTATTTTCAAAACATGCCATACAAAGCACCAGTTCTTATAACAATAAAATGAAAATAGTTTCAAAAAACCTTGTGTGTTTAGGAGGAGAGCCATCTCATTTGGGATTTTGGCGTTTGAACCGACTCCAACCTGGATTAAAGTTATTGCTTTTGGAGATTTGATAGGTCAATATATAAAAAAAAAAAAATAGAGAAATTATAGAAGTCTCATGACATAGAGGAGTGATTTTGTGAATTGATGTGTGGAATAGGTGGGAGAGTGGTCCCAGGGAGACAGGGATAATGAAAGTGGAGGAGTGGGTATAAGAAGGGTGCATGCATGGATGGAGGATGAGAGAGGCTGATTAACTGCTGATAATGACGCCATTAGGAATATCAAATATGGAAGTGTGCATGTCAATTGGAACGTAATGTGGTGGATGCTTGTGCTTCATCTATTATGGCTTTTATATTACACACAAACTTGTCAAATTCATTCTTTTTTAATAAAATAAAAAATTATGACAGTGGTTGAGAGGCCGTCTCCTTGGCCTTTGGTCGTTAGATAGGCTTCTCAATCTCGTCCTTTTGGAATTTATGGTTTGTTGGGTTTGAGAAATCCCATTTCAATTGTCAACATCGTCAATTTGTGAGAAATGGGGTCAAACAGAAATAGTATAACTACAACGTTATGTGTCTGTTATTCTAAAATTTGAAAAATCCGCATTAATGTCATATTTACTTTTTAAAGAGGGAAAATGATAGAAAAATTTATTTAAATTATGTAAATGATTGATTAGTCCTATAAAATAGTATAATTTTTCTAAAGTCTCATGGAATGTTTCTGTCATTAGAAAGTTAAAAGAAATGATATTTTTGCCCTTTATTCAAATTAAAGAAATTTGTAACTTTCCGTTCATAACTTTTGTTTATATATTAATAACTTTTATTTTTAAATTCGCAACAATTTAATCGCTATTCACAAGTTTGGATCTAGAAGTCTTGATATATACTAAGTGTTGAAAATTCAAAACTTTTCATTTACAACTTTTGTTTCTATATTAATAACTTTTGTTTTTAAATTTGCAACAATTTAATAGTTATTCGCAACTCTACATATGCATGTTTTGATATGCATCAAATGTTAAAAATTTACAACTTTTCATTTATAACCTTTGTTCCTGTATTAACAACTTTTGTTTTTAAATTTACAACAATTCAATAGTTATTTGCAACTCCGCATATGCAAGTCTTGATATGTATTAAATGTTAAAAATTTGAAACTTTTCATTCACAACTTTTATCCTTATATTAACAATTTTTATCCCTAGACTTGCAATAATGCAATATGAAATTGTAATTTATCAATATCCTTTGTAAATTGACTAAATCAGCAAAAATGAATTACCACTCTAATCCAAAAAATAACAACTTTTATTAATTTAAATGACAAGAAAATCTTAAAAAATGATAACTATTTAAGGTTTTGTTATTAGTTACATGAACTACAACTTGTATCAAAATATCCTACAACTCTTTTGACAAAAATATATGAGAGGTTAAATCTTTTAATGTCATCCCTTCTTTTATCATTTTTATCCTCACAATCCCCCATCATATTGTATTTTACTTTTAATTTTTTTTACAAAGTGTCCCCCAATGTGAAAATACAAAATAGTTCATTTCTAAAATTAGAAGTTAAAGAAGTCATTTCTCATGCTAACCTGAAATAATAAAATAGGCATTTATCAACATGTCTCTTTCCCAAACATCATAATCACATATTTGTTATCTTTTATCTAACAACAACTATTCTTTTTATATTCACAACTTTGATTTATGTATTTACAACACAACTGAAATAATATATCATTTATCATTTATCTATAAGTAAGCATTCATACTCATGTACATTAGAGAAAATGAAAATCTCAATCATGAAGAGAAAATGAAGATCTTGATTATTTATGCACATTAACCCGTATCAATTTCAACTATCATATATGAGAGGAGAAATTTTCAAAGAAGAGAAGAAATTTACCCATGTATAGCACAATTAATAAAGGAAGAATGATTGTTTACATATAACCATGTACAGCAGCTCAACCAAACCACATGCAAAAGCTAAAAAAGAAATGAGACAGTCCAGAAGGAGAAGGTAAAGAAGGAGGGGAAGGAAAAGGAGATGAATAAGAAGGAGAGCACGAAGAAGAGAAGAGGAGAACAAGAAGACGAAGCAGAAGCAAGAACATGCAAAAATGACTCCGCAATGAAGCTTAAGATTTTTGTTTTATTTGAGGATAATTTGAGCATTTTCTTTAATTCCTTAATGACAAGAAAATCTCATAAGACTTTAGAAAAATTATATCATTTTTTGAGACCAATCTATCATTTATATAATTTAAATAAATTTTTTTTGTCATTTTTCCATTTAAAAAAACTGTAACCCTATTTTTTTTTTCAAAAAAATCATTGCGATGGGCTGCATTGCTTGAATGCATAGAATGTGGATTGGGCCAAGAACGAGTTTTGGAGATTAAATCTCACTATTTTACTTTGCACTGTGCTTCCCAAAAAAAAAAAAAACAAACAAACAACATCAAAGGCCTCTCAATAAGATTTGTAGATGTCAAATTTTACATCGGAGAGCTCATGCCCTCCACGCTACTCAAATCTAAAGCAGCCTGAGATAACTGTTCCATTCGAAAGAGAGATTTACTGGAACCTTCTTATCAGTAGTAATAAAACTCTGTCGAAAACAAAATTTCTTGAGAATATCATAAATGTTAGGTTAAACAGTTGATTAATTTCTTCGAAGCCTAAAACACAGGAAAGGAGCCTAGACTTGAGCTCAAGCCATTCACGGCAGATCTATATATACATTGCCGGATGAAACTTGCAAGTAAATGATGAAGTCAAAAAGGGCGAGTCAAGAACATGGTTTTGATCCTACAGAAATACTGGCCAAAAATTAGAAGGAAAAAAAAAATTCCGTCAAAAACCTTCCTTTTTAACCCCTGGTCTTCGGCTTTATATGACTACGAATTGAAGGCTGAAAGGGCTACGTTTCCTCGAGTTTTCAGCTTCCCGACCAAGTAGATCTAATTATGCTGCCGTATACTGCATCTGTGTCAATAATTCTGCAGTTTATTTGTTGCTCATAGCAATGTGATTGGAGAATGGGGAGAGGATCTTCTCTTCTGGAAAGAGATTTCCCGTATCATCTGTTCTCTGTGCAGGGTGGGAGAGGACACGTCTTTTCCTTCCTCAATATCTCGAAGCAATTAGCTTTACACTTGTTTCCCATGCTTCTTACCTGTAATCCAGAGATAATGTCAGGAAGATATGCAATGTTATTGAGAAGAACTCTTAGGTCATGCAACATACAAGTAGGTTGTACAATAAGCCAATGAAACATTATTAAAATGGGCGTTTCACATTGTAAGGCTATATAGAAGGAAAAGTTAGGGTAGTATTTATCAAGGAGAAAATGATAGAAACCCACTTAATATGGTTTGAACATGTACCAGTAGAGGTGCTAGTAAGGAAGTTTGAACAGATGATCGAGTCGTGAGAAAAGAAAAAAAATAGAGGAATACCGGGAACAACACTCAATAAAGTTTGGACATGACTTTTTGGTGAATGTTTTGTCCAAAGAGTAATCATAGAATACAATGGTGCAATGCAATCTATATAACCAACCTCACATAATAAGATAAAGCTTGTTATTGTTACTGGCAGGTGCTTATCATTGTGGCACCATCTAATAATTTATAGCCTCGGTTCTCTCAATGTAGAGTTTCAGACAACTAGCTTTTGATTTGTAGTTTTTCACAAGATATTTAGGAACAAAAAGAGGGAGAACAGGTAGAAGAACAAAACAATCATATGCTTCTTTATGTGTAGCTATATGTTTATACATTTTGGAAACTAACCAATTGTGTAATTTTTTTTCTTTTAATCATTGTGGGATTGGAGGAAGGGAAGGCTACTGCTACTTCATTTAGCTGTCACACCTCTTTGAAACCAAGATCTTCGGACTGTTCTGCGGATGTGGCGCTCATGTTTTTCTAAGAGCTCATCAACAGTATGCATTTGAGATAGCAAAGGTCCTGAAAACTCAACCTTCTCTCCTTGATCCTGATAACTCTGCAAGGGAGCGATGAAGACATGAATTTCAGTTTAGATTCAGATCTACACAGTTGATCCATGCACTGATTGTAAGTAAAATTTCTAACCTTTTCCTTCTCAGTCACACATGCCAATAAATGCTAATTTTTAGCCAAATAAACAAGTTAAAAATTGATTTAAGAAGAAATCAGCATCTACGCACTTCAAATAAATTCATTTTCTTTACCATTGCCTTCTTCCATTGTCCAATTAACAGTCAAGACATTAACTATATGATTAGCTAATCAGGAAGGAGATCAATTACTTAAGTTCTCACGTTAGCAAGAAATGAAGTCATTCACAGGTCTCAAAAAATGAATTTATTTCAATAAATTAAGGCTTTCATTTGTTTTAAATTTCAAAAGCATATCTCAAGATATCACTTCAAAGATTTTTCGTGGAAACACAATATAACTTATCTTTACATGGAGACAGAATAATATGCAGAAAGAGGCACGAGAGTTTCATCTGTCAGTTTGATCTGGCTTCTATGTAACTTACCAGGTTACTTCTCTTGGATATTGAATCCTCTCTATGATAAAGCGCCATACATAGCTCTTGTGAGTGGTATTCGTCAGAAGCGTCAAAAGAATCTGGGCGATCAAACTTGCTCCATTGATTTTGCATGGCAATCTTAGGGATTTCAAGTGGATCACGACTCCTAGAGTTGGAGCGTCCCAGACAATCCTTATTTTCCATGTTTCTGGAATCAATATTATTCATTGAATTTGGTACAGCAGACTCCAATGGATTGATAATATGCCCTCTTGAAATAGATCGACAGTGGGATCTTATTGAAATGTCATCTTTTCGTCTTTTTGCCCATGCAAAGCCACTTGATGTGGAAACTTGCAATGGCCCGGAAAAGGGAATCTCTCCTTGAGATGCATTCTTCGTATGAGACGCATCATCGGGTTTATCATTAGATGCCTTTGGTTCCTCCTTACTTACGTTGGGGATCCCTTCTTTAAGGATGTGGACTGACCTGCCATTCACCCTTTGGAATTTCCGGGTTTGACTTGCCAAATCCTGTAAGAGGACATCAAACCATTCAATGATAATTTACTTTCCCTGGCTGACCCTTCACATGGATTGTAGTGCATGCATATAAGATGAAACACAATGAAGCAAGAGAGAAAGTGGAATAGACCTCTGTTGGGACTAATTTGTTGAATCCTAATGGCTTTCTTGATGGCTTTCTTGTTTCAGATCCACGTGCTCTGCCACCGATCTTTTTCCTACAAGTTCATTGCAGTAGTTTAAATAAGAGCTCACCTGCAAGCTATGCTAACGTAATTGAAAATTGCATAGAATAAAAGTTTGTTCATTAGGTCTGATACTGTTGAAACTAGAAAGGTTTTGCTACATATCGACTTCACAACCTTAGATGGTAAATCTCCCCAAAACAAACCCCCTCCTACAGAGGGAGGAAGAGAGAAATAAACCTATCAAATATTTCCGTCTCCTCGGAACTGAAACTGTTCTTTACTTTTTTCTTCTTATTTTGAGAGTATGCGGCTTTATCATCGTCATCTATCACATGCATTAATTTCTATTTGCAGTAGCGGACCTAGTTCAATAATTTCGTAGGATATTCACTGCTCAAATATGTGGATTTATATGACATTTTGAAGACAAAAGAACTAATCTAAACTACCTATTATACCAGGAGTTCTAATGTCAAGAACTAGACTAAATGGATACTCCTTCATAGATATTCTGACACAGCAGATTTAGAGTGTCACGCTAGGAACTATATCAAATGAAATGCACATCACATGCAGATACTTTCTTGGATTCACAATACCATATAGGAGGTCATGAAGTGCTTAAAGAACATACTGACATGTAACTGAGCAAACCTCTCTTTTTCCATAACTATTCAAAGAACATACAAAGAGGGTGAGATCTCACCTCCTTGACTCCTCCTGCTGTTTCACATCAATCTCCTTGCTAGGTGGGTATACCGGCAAGCTTGATGGTTCACAAGCATATGGCTTTGTTTTGAAATACTGAACAATACAATAATTCAATCAGGCTATAATACTCAATGCTCAGTGCCAATGCTTCCAAAAGTGAAAGTTTATGTGTGATGAATAAATTTGGTCCACGACTAACATGAGAAAGAACTTGACATTATAGCATACAAATACGAAGATGCTTAAAACCACGATTTTCCGAATGTACGATAAAAATTAAACAGATAAATATGGGGGGAGGGAGGGACGTGCTCTGCAGTACAGATGATTTCAAGACAGTGTATTGTTTTCCGTACTCACTATCATGTCAAATGAATGCCTTTCAAGGATTGCCAACAAAGTTGGAGGTTAATACCTCTGATGAGAGAGCGGAAGAGGCAGTTCCACGTTTGTATGGTTCAATGGAAAGAAGAGTCTGTAGCAAGTTCACACAAGTTGAAGGCAAATCTTTGAAGGTCTCCCGGAGACAACTATTATATGGTTGCTGTGGCCTGAACAAGGTTGCATGAGGGAGTCTGGACTTTTTCCAGTATTCTTCAGGTGGAGAACCGCAAAGCTTGAAGATTTTGTGCAATTGTTCAACCTGCATGTAAAATAAGAGTGAATCGAGCAAGGCATTGAAAGAAAACTTAAACCATAGTGTGAGACTATTTTATTTATTTAATATTAATCATTAGCTGATCAACATCCAGGTAACTTCAAAGAAGTGATCTTGGAATATGTTACCTTCTTGAACATAAAATAAAGCAATAATTATTACAATCTTTAACATGACTTGATTTTCCTTTGTATACAATTCCATGTGAAAAGTAAAATTACAGGCAAACCATTAACAACCAAAGCAATGACAATATTAGGGCCAAAAGAAAAAGTGATGACAATATTGATATTTAATGAGACTGCAAAGGAAGTTTATGTAATGGTTACAAAAGTTACGGCTTGTTTGAAACTGTTTTTTTTAATTATTATTTTGAAAACTGATATTTTGTAAAACATGTTTTGAAAAAAAAAAATTGAAAACAGGTGTTTTTTTGCATTTTTCTTTGTTCTTCATAAAAAAAATTCTTAGAACATCTAAAAAATATTTTCATTTTCTATTTTTCAAAACAATATTTGGTTTTTTGTTTTTCAAAATACTTTCTAAAAACATATTACTAAACAGATTTTTTTTAAATAAAAAACTATTTTCAAAACAGGTTGTTAAACAAGTTCACATTTCTAATTTTATGTATCAAGTAGATGAATATAGGAACACATAAGTAATAAAGATTTAGCAGCATCCCCAGCTGCAAATAAATTATAAATTTCACAATTTGACTTAATTTATTAGTTTGCACTGTAGAAGCATTTGCATATTTGTAAATTTCCATACAATAGCAAATCAGTTATCTCGTGTGAGCTTAAAGCCTCTTCCTCCTCCTTTTTTAAGCATGAATTGCAACAACTTCCAGGCCAATAACACTAACAAGCGTCATTGGGTGGAAGGGGGAGTCTGATCATGATTATCACATATCACATATAGTAATAAAAGGGAAACCCGCACATATTGAAAATGTTACTACCTCTGTTCTCCCCTGAAGGATAGGCTTCCCAACAAGTAGCTCAGCAAACACGCAGCCAATGCTCCAGAGATCCACAGACGGACCATAGTCAGTTGAACCCAGTAAAAGCTCAGGAGGACGGTACCACAATGTAACTACACGACTTGTGAGGGGCTGTTTGTTCCCAGAATTTGAGAAGTTCGCCAGTCCAAAATCAGCAACCTTTAGTATCCCTTCATTATTCACTAGAAGATTAGATCCTTTGATGTCTCGATGCATTACACCCCGTGAATGACAATGGTCAAGTCCAGACAACAACTGCTTCATGTAGCATTTAATCTGTACCGACAAAAAGACATGTTCAATAAGATACAACGACAAAAAGATTGCGTCACAGCAATATATAATTCAGACCTGAGGGCCTCAATTGTTCCATTTACAATTTTCACTTTTATTTTGTTGGGTATGTATTTTTGATAAAAATGATCACTTCGTCGCTGATATCAGTATGAGAAATAAAGAAACAGAAAACAAGCAAAATCCTCCTGTCTCCTCCAAACACATCCATAGAATTTCCAGGCGGTTTTAATGGAAAGTTGGCATACCTGCGGTTCACTAAACTTGATATCAGGGGAGGATAAGAGCCCTGTAATGTCATGTTCCATATACTCGAATACAAGATATATGCTACAGGACAATTTAGAAGTAATCAAGCCCTCCAATTTTATAATGTTTGGATGATCAAGCCTTCTGAGAATCATTATTTCTCGAGCCATGAACCTTACACTTTCGGGCTCAAAGTTGTCAAACCGCACCTTCTTCAGAGCCACTATCTTCCCTGTCTCAAGTTCTCGCGCTCGGAAGACACTGCTGTATGTACCTTGCCCAATCTATTCATACAATTTGCAAACACATTGCCAATGTCAGAATGATGACTAGAAGTAGCAGAACCAGCAATTAAACAGTACGCAATAATCTAAATAGAAATCAAAGCAAAATTTAGATGACGAAAGTAAGCCCTTTATAGTTCTGCTGGAGTTTCCCAAAGAAAGCCTCATGAATCAGCGGCCATATAACTCCCTCACTTAACATTGATATTCATGTTTTACTACTAATGCATCTATATGCATAAAAGTCAACACAGAAGAACAATTTCGTGTAGACATATAATTATTTTTTTCCTTTTCGATAACAAGTACTGTGACGACACCGCAGAATCTCCAAACTTCCAGATACCAGTAAATTTGATTCCTTTTATACAGAAACTAATTGTTAATGGCACAGAGGCTTCTGCTTTACGGGGACAGGAGTGGATGTATTCAAAAAAAAGATGTAAAAGTGTTATTCAAGACAAGCTCGAGAAATTGATCTTCAAAAATTATTTCGTACAGTCCATAAAGGATATTCCTAATCGACTACGAGACAAACTCTATGGATAACATTTTATTTGAGAATGCTACCACAAAATGAATAGAAACAAGCTCGGAATTGCGGGTAGGATTAGCAAATCAACCTTCTCAAGTTTCTCAAACGCATCGGCTCGGAGGGGCACCCAACCCTGAATGGCTTCACCGGCGACTGCGGTGAGCCAACCCGGCCAACCCGCTGCCACTTGCTCTCCTTGTACATACTTCTGCAGATTCCCCAATCTGAAGCTTAACGACTCACAACCTCCATTTGAACTCGCCCTCCCGGACTCCCCCACCTCGCTTCTACTCAGCTCCACTGACTCACTCTTCTTCTTGTCCAACTCTCCTAAATTCCTTCCAGAATTCCCCGTACCCGCATTGCCGCGAAACACACCGGAGTGGTCAACAGCAGGCGTCACCGATACCGCCTGCTTCGAATTCACACAACCCATTGATCAGCGTCACCGGCCACCGCAGTGCAGAAGCATATGATCAAGGACGAATCTGAGTTTCGCCCAGATCCGTTCAGATTCCGGGACCGCCGCCTCCAGACTCAAGTCAGCTGGCTTAGAAATTGCAGGGTAAGATTACAACAGTAGAAGGAAAAGAGCTTTTATACAACGTAGTCAGCAAGCATTGGAACGTTCTATATTGCTTTCTTTCACTTTCTGGCTTATTTTCGTCCGCTCTAGCGGCAATTGCGGGAGACGGAGATAATTGGACTTGTTAGAACCGGAAACAGAATAGCGAAATCAACGGAAAAGAGAGAAATGTGCTGTACACAAGATCAAGATAGTGGCATTTTGGATTTCTGACCTTTTATTCTCTGCTTTTGTTTGGACTTTGGATTTCTAATTTGTTTTGAAAGCCATTAGTTATTGAGCTTTGTTTGTTTGTGAATGCCATTGCTTCGCAAAGTCAAGTCGAATTGGAAACAGTGCATGGGAGGGAATCGGCTGGGAGGGGTAATGTAATGTAATGGCGATGGCAACTAATTGCAAAGCGCGTGGCTCATAAAGTTTCTTATTTTATTTGTTTCTTATTTTATTTATTTTCTTAGTTGAGATATTTAAATATTCGTTACTCACTTGCATTGGGTGGTTGCGATTTTGACTAATGGGTCTGAGTACGTTTTTAATATTTCCACTCCGTTTGAATTTAAAATCTGAAGATGTTTCTGTTCATACGCGTGATTTAGAGATACCACGAAATGGCCGCATCTCAGCATCTGTGTCACTGTTCATAGAAAATTGAGCAAATTTCATTTAAGACCCATTGATCATATTTAATGGGAAAAAAAAAAAGGCCTCTTGAATAAAATGTAAAGTAAAATTAGCTCATTGTTCTTTATCCCTTCTAATTTCTTATTGAAATTATTCATTTTTTTTACATAAAGTTGTTCATTTACTTATAAAAGTTATTTATATCATTATTAAATATTGTTTTATTTTAAATATTGTAATCATATTAAAATGAGTCATTTATTTCTTTTTATGAAGTTATTTATTGACCTATAAAAGCTTTTTATGTTATTACTGAATTTTAATTTTTATTTCAAATATTAGAATTATGATGAAATGGGTTATTCATTGTCTATATTAAAATTGTTCATTGATCTATAAAAATTATTTGTGCCATTACTAAATTTTTATTTTATTCCTAATGTTATAACCATAATAAAATGAGTTATTATATCAAGTCATTTATTAACTTATAGGAGTTATCTGTGCCATTATTTCTATCTAAACCTCCAAGATTTTCAATAAACATGTGTAGGAATGCAATTTAAGCTCCCAAGCTGATATTCTCACAAAATTGATAAATAATAACAATTCAGAATAACGAAAGGATCAACTCTTATATATAATTAGTTATAAATAAAGATTATTTATTATAATTGCAAATCTTATAATACAAAATCTCCAAATTTCTTGAAGATTCGGATGTGTCCTAAGAACTCTTTGATGGATTACCTCACGACTCTATACATTGTGCCACATACAAAGAACTAAAGCTGTTCTTAATAAAAGTCCCTAAGAGCTGGTTCCTTGAAAATTCTTCCCTTGACTTCCACATGAACTAGTCAAGATTTCACTTCCTTCTCTTCACCTCTATCGATTCCTTTGTCAAGAAAGTAATAAACGCTCAGGTGGAGGAAGGATTTGGTACCAAAAGCAAGCCAGTTCAGCCCCCCTACTGAGCATACATTTTTCACCATATCCGATAACATTTTTTTTAAAAAATTTGAAAGAAGATTAATCTTATCATTTCCTCCAATATTTTAATTTCACTTCACTATTTATGATCTCAAGTGAAATTTCAAATTTTAAGGGCCTTATTTTTTATTATGTTTGGTCGAAGAGTCTTAAATAAAATTTTTCTAAAAAAATTTGCTACTAATGGGACAGAAAATGTTTTCTTATCCTTTTTAGCACTTTGGTGAAATAGTTACTACAGCACAGATTAAGGTTTTGATCATTTGATTAGAGTAAGTAATTTAATGGGAAAGGATGTTTTGTATGCATTAATCTGGTGTCATGATTCAACAAAATATTTGGCGTCAATAAATGCTTAAAACCACAAAAAAGGTGAGTGGCAATCAAAGAGCTTATATATCTAACTTAAATATGGAGTTTCAGATTTGAATTTTTGTAAATACAAAAAGAACAAGCATCTTTTGGAAGATGATGCATCCGTCAATCTGGGTAACGCTGGAATATAACACAATTATTCAAATATAATGGACCTATTATAGTTGTATTAAAAAAATAATAGTAAAAGCCATTGGCACCTTGATGCGAGACTTTAATTAATTAATGATAATGATTGTGAAGTAAATAAATATAGAGTATATTTGCCCTTCAAGACCCATACGGTTTTGAAATGTGGTCATCGGAGCAGCTTGGGCGTTGACTGTTGACAAATCCCTATGCCATGAGCTCTTTGCTTGAATCACTGTGATGGCCCACTGGCTATTGAATTTGGAATGATCATAATTGAGCGCAAAGCATGTATATGCTCCAATATTATAGAGGAGGTTTCTATCATTTTTTTAATAATAATATCTTATTCGAAATTCTAATTCCAAGATGTTTTTATAAAATCTCTTGACATATACCTCGATTATTTTCCCCCCAACCCTTGATAAATAATTTTGACAATTGAGGATTATATTTTAAAGTCATTTTTGTCTACATTAAAACTAAATTTATAAGGAAAGTTATTTATTCAAAATTTGAAGTGGGAGGCGTCATTTTCTACGTAAAATTCATAAATGTTTAGAGTGAGGGGAAACCAAAATGGAAACGGAGAATTGAATAGAGCGTAATAAAGGACAAGCGTGCCTGTTAGGCTGAGAAGTTGGGGCCATTTATGCCACGCAGGAAAGGAAATTCCCAGCAATGCCTTATTTCGTTGATTCCACGTCACCCCCAGCTTCTCTTCTCTTTCTCCTTCTCTTTCATTGCATCATCAATTGGCTACGGGCTACCCATTAATAGTGTTTTAAAATTAGAGTGAAATGGTAAGATTTTTTAAAAACTTTTTTGGGAGAAGCGTCAAGCATTTTAAATTTTTTTTTTGAAACAATACTATCCCAAAACTTTCAAAATAAGGGCAAAATCACTCCAACATTAACTTTGATTTTTAAAAGAGCTTAGTTTGACAAACAATGTCAAGATGCAAATATTTTGTACTAAGCCTGATTATCATTATTTTATAGTACTCTTTTTCATCACCTCCTTTTTCAATACCCAGGCAACATATAGGAATATCTCTGAGAAAGGAAGGACTTTAGGACTTCAAATTGAGATGTTTGATAAAAAAGTCTCATTGACTACTTGAAATAAAGAAGTCAGGATTTCACAATTGGTAAAGGAATTGCGTCTCATTCTCATTCTTTTAAGGCAATCTGTGTTCTCTTGTGAATTATTGTTACAATGGCAATCAAGACAAAGAATGCCAATGAAGAGAAGTGGGTGGAGGAAAACCTTAGCATAACCCTAGATTCCACTGTTTCTCTCACTATCGAATCAAAGCACGAATTGATGAAACATGGAAGCAAGTGGAATTTGGTTAGTGGAATTATAGAGAGAAGGTCGTTCATCTTGATTAGATTAAAACAGGCTTAGTGTAAGATTTGATAACAAACTGTAAAGTCTCTCTTATTAATTTTCACTTAACTTTAAAATTAAGATAATCAAAAGACTAACCTAAAAAGATTATCAAGTTTGTAAATTTTACAAATTAGGAATATCAAATTTTTAAAATTTAAACACTTCAACATACCTTTACAAAGCAAAATTTAGAGTTAAAAATGTGTGCAGAAGCATGAAATCTTTCACAAGTTAAAACATTTGTAATAAGGTTGAAAACTGAAAACATTAAAGTAGAAAGACAAAGGCACGCTATGGCTTGTTTCACATGTGTCATGGCATGTTTACTTCTGTGCCATGCACCGTAATGCATTCCACATTTTTTGCTACATTGTTGCTACCATATAACAGCAATTGGAGCGAACTTTCAACGTATTTCAATTCTCTATCCTCCATCCAATTAAAGCAATTTAGATATCTACAGAGAGCTTTCTTCTAACTGTAACTAATGACATTATTTTTACAATTAATTATTTCTCACTTAGAAATTAGACGTTCATATCTCAAAACATTCCTTTTCACATTTCAAACATAGTTTGGGTGTCCAAATTTCATTTCAAGTGTCAAATGACTAATTTACACCTTAGATCATACTTGATGGATTATGATAAATCTGTGCAATACACCACAATCAATCAATCACACATAAATTATATTTTCAATGCTCAATTCTTGAATCACAAAAATATAAGGGGGAACTTTAAACTCACAAATCATCATATTATTTCACAATAATTACAATTTTACTCACTTCTTCTTTACAGTAGTATTTTGGCCCTGATATAAATTTCATAAGCAATACATAAAATGAAAAGCTTTTGAATCATCATCTTTGATTTCTGTCTTGCCTATAGTAAGCGAAGATCGATGGATCTGGGTTTTGGAATGGAAAGGACATGATCATAAAATGAAAAGCTAGGAATCCTGAGAAGTGCTGGAAATTCGGTTGAGAAAGGAGAAGAAACACTTGTGAAAGGAGGAGGAGATGACACATGTCAATTTGATGGTCAAAGTAAGAGTTTAACTATCAACATGTGTCTAGGTTATTTCTGGCAAAAAAAAAAAAAATGTGTCTAGGTTATCGGTAGGGTAATGTTGCCCGCCTTTTAAAAGTTCTAAAATAGTATTGTTCTACAAAAAAATTACGATACCAGATGCTTCTCGCAAAAAAGGTTTAAGATATTTTTGTGCTTTAACTCTTTAAATTATAAACAATATAGAACCCACCAAATTATAACATTGCACTTGTACAATATGAGAATTTAGTTGTAATTTGTAAATCAACCAATGTTCTACTTCCAGAAGTATAGAGTTGTTGGCAGATTGGAGTTTTACCATGATTAAAAGATTTTCCAAGAAAATAGTAAACACGTACGGTTTTAAAATTGAGTGATGTTTTACACTTTTTAAATTTAATTTTACTCAACTGAAAAAATGTGATGTCAAGGGTAAGAGCACTTACAAATTAAAGTTTACTTTTTTGATTTTTCTCGCAATCATACGACAATTTTATTTTCCCACACGGTTAGTGGGTTTGTTCACTTGTTGCAGCAATTCAATGAAAAACATGAAAGTCAGAGTTATTCGGCCAGACTTGAGGCTGCTTCATCAATTTGTCCCCATTTTTCAAGTATGGTATTATGGGAACCTAAAAAAGTGTAGGAAAAGTCAATGAGGGTTCTAAAATATAAACCCAGCCCCACTAGCAATTTATCTGTTTCTAACACTAGTTTAATTTCTTGAATAAAAAATATGAAATTTCCAAACCTTACAGTAAATTGGCGAGAGAATGAATTAAAATGAAAAAT